GGAGGGGTATTTGGTCCATCCTATGGTCCCCAGGTGACTCAGCACACTCATGCAAAACATGAGGAACAACCACCCCCTTAGGATCCCATCCTGAACCACTATAAGTTTCTCCTGCCATCCTTCCTTCCTCTAATAACTTCAACATTAACAGTAAGGGGAGAAGAGGGATTGGGATGATTCTGAGCCACAAAATCTGTACTCCTCTCCAGTGGAGCTAGAGGATTGATAGAGGTTATACCTATGCTTTAGGTGGCTGGATGCTCTTTGTCACACCTCCTTTTTACACACCCAAGGGTATATAAGAGAGTTTTTCCAATTGAAGTGACATTATTCGAAATGAGATTATTTATTTATCAGAGTCGCCACTTGGGATAGTTTATTTGGTGTCCCAAGTCACCGGTTTATTTTTAAATCCCAAATCGAGGAAATTCGACTTTCCTTTTGAAGTCTGCGAACCAGAAATTCTATGTAAGGAATTCTGTTAACCCGGGAAAAGGTGTTAGGCATTCCCGGGTTCTGTGGTTCTAGCACGGTCGCTCAAACTATTACAATTCGCCTATTATCCGATTTATCACATGTTTTAGCCTATGGTGCATTTTAAATTATTAACCGCTTTTAATTATTTTAGGAAGATTCAACGTTATTTAAGACATGCCTTGAACCACACCACATAAAATGCACCCGCGGTTCGCGACACATTCTATTTAACGTTGTCAAATATTGAAATTGGGTCGCATGAAATGCACATCCGAATTTAATAAATAAAAGAAAATCAATTTACATGGCGCGCTTAAAGCAACTACGAAATTTCGAATTAATAACAAGGTTTGCGAGGGCCATGGAAAGTTCAATTGATGGCACACCTCGATTTTTAAAGGGTTAAAACTAATTAAATGAGGGCCATGGGTTTAGGGGTTTCATTTGGCATGCCACGCCTCAAATTATTTTTAAAGACTTCTTGGTCTAATTTTTTGGGGGCCATAAGTCATTAGTTTGGTAAGATGGAACACCCCAATCTAGTTTAAAAAGGGTGTAATTGATTAACTAAAATACTAAGGGAATTCAGAATTATTACTTTTTAAAGCTCATGTTCAAACTAAACTTATTAATCAGAAGGGCTAGTGTTACAGGAGATCCGATCTATATTTATTCGAAAGCCTGGGCCTGGCAGCAGGCCCAATAGTTTATTGAAATACGAAGGAGGATTGAGCTCTTACAAGGCCCAGAATGCATGCATGATCCAAAAAGGGGCATATGGCATAACTGGGCCAACGACGAAGGCCCAGTCGTGATTCATTACCATTAATTGAAGCAAATTACAATTTTCATGAAGACCCGGAGATTAAAACAAACCCTGACATTTCTTGCCAATTTAAAACAGATACAGAATGCACCCTGAAGCCAAATCACACTCTATGATGAATATGTAATCCTATTGCTATAATAACCCATACACAATTATTTTATCCCTTGTAATTTAACATAATTCATGACTTATAACCAAAACACTAACATGATTCCTAAATAAAAGAATACATTTACTAATATGAACCACAACTGAATGTTCTTATTCCAAACCCATTCATATCACTTTAACGAATTCAAGCAAACTTCCCAAAACAAACACTGATTTCAGCAGACTTGAATAAGTCTGAAACACATCTAATTTAGACTGAACTTTCTACTGCGATAACCCCAACAGTCCTACATACAAACAGGATCTCAAACTCATTTACAAACCAAACGACTAAATAACAGCACTTGTCCAGCTTACGAACAGAACTTAAAGTTATCAATCGAATTGAACAAATAAAGCGCATGAAGGAAACTTAGATGGATTACAGAATAACATGGAATTAAGAGTATAGATGTAACATTCAATAAAAAAAAATAATGTATCACAAATTTCGACTCAAGAGCATAGCTGCAAATCCCTTTTATTTTACATGTCCATGAAGTCTAGAGAGTACCTGATTACAGCAGCAAAACAACAAAGGAATGAGCTCGAAATTAAGAAGAGGATAACAGCAAGGTATCAGCAACAAAGCGGCACAACCCACACTCAGTTTTACACCATTTGGACCCAGATTGACACCATTCTTTCGAGTTTTCAAAGAAATTCTGATTATAGGGAAATCAAAGAACAAAACCAAGAAAGTTTCAAACAATTTCTAGTATTTCTTGGAGTCTAAAAATGCTCAGTCGTTTTCTAAGTTTTTTCGGCTTTCTAATCTCTAAAATATGACTTGAAAATGAAGAAACCTGCCTTTTATAGAGAAACTCTAGGGCAGCAGAAACGGTTCAAAATTTTACCCATTACCCCTTTTTGATTTTCATTCTTTTAACTTTAAACCCCAATTTTCTAACCTGTTTGTCAAACTACACCCAAACCCCACCTTCCAAGAAGTTTCCAAATCAGTTATACAAGATTCCTCTAAACTAAAAATCCTAAACTAACCTTTAAACCTCTATTATTTACCCTCAGCAGACCACATGGGTCAAGTCTGATCCAAGACTCAAACCAAAAATGAATGGGCTTCCCTCGAAACTGGGTCAGAAATGACCCCCAAAGCCCAATCAAATGGCCAACCCAAATCAGAAATCAATTTCAGTGATTTATGAAAAGCAAAAGAAGAACAACTTAAATGATTTCAAAACCAAAAGCTTGTCTAAATGACTAATTTTTTAAACTAACATAAATAAAGTAGAATTAAACTAGATGACTAAATCAAAACAAAACCTAATTAAACTAATTATAAGACTAGAACATGAAGGACTCTCGGATTAATATAATTAAGCTAATGGACTAAAACAAAAATCAGAACCTAAATAACATGCATAACAGCTAAGCAGGCAAATGAATAACCCAAACCAAAATCAACGAACAACCCTTAAATTTGGAAAAGAAACTGGAAAACAAATGGAACAAATACGACCACAAATCAATCCAAAAGGAAAGACCTAGGTTTGAACCTTTATTAATTGTCAGTCAGAAGAAAAACTACTAAAAGAAAAGGAGAAGAAAAGAAGGGGAATAGAAGGTGAAACAACAGAAACGGACAGAAAATAAAATGAAAGAAAACTTACCTAATTAACTTGAAACCAACACTGGATGCTCTGATTTAAACAAAACCAATGCTAATCGCTTGTTCTTTGTCAAGAACAAGCAAACAACATTAGTTTTGCGTTAAATCAAACTCCAAAACTTGACAACTCAGAGGTATAGGTCTTGCATGCTATTGATTCGAGGGTAAGGCAATTTTGGGGGTTTAGGGCTTCGACCTTAGATCTGAAATTTGAACAGATGGAGAAGGATTCGAGGGAAGTGGTTTTGGGGTTTAGGAAGAGGAAGGTACATGGGTGATGTGGTGTTAATTTGGGGCCGATTGAGCTACGCCGTCGGCCGGTGGAGACTTGAGGATTTTGAGGCGGCGGGTGCTTTAGGGTTTAGAGTCTCTGAGGTTAGAGACGAAGAGTGAGGAGAGATGA